AATTCTTCTAAAACGGGTTATACTGAATACGGGAGAGAGTAGTAATGTTCTTGATTCAAAGTCTTGAAAAAAGTTTGATGATATGCTATTCTTTATAATTTAGAATAAAAGGTCTTATTTGGTGGTCTTGAAAGAAATAAGTAAAATTTTAGCATACACGAATCCTACGCACGAAATACATTTCCCTTTTTATTAAAGGGAGAATTTTGTCTAAAAATCATAAATGTGACATATTTTTAAATAAAACCTACTACAATATGAAATTTTAATGTAAGATGTTGAACCTGAATTGAAATAAAATTTTTGAACAAAATGATCAAATACAAATTTTCCAAATCCATGATAATTTAGTTAAAGCATAATAAATTCTAACCCAAAATATTAAACTCTTGCTATACACAAAACATTAATATTACCTTTATAAAACCTCAATGATTTTTATAATTATTTACTTTTTATTTCTTGCTCAATGATTTTAGAATATAAAGTCAAAAAATATTATACTTTAGAGATTATTTTCACCTCTGTTCTTGTAATGTGTATAGTTATTTTTGAATTATTAACTTTTTATTTTTTTTAGAATATTAATATTTTAAATTATGCCATAGCCTCCTGAGCTAGGGTCCTGACTTTGTCGCTAGTTGTAATGTATTGGATGTAACAAGTAATGTAATTGATTTTATAAGTTATAATAATTATTTAATGAGTAACAAATTCATTTCACCACATGGACTTTTATTGTTAATCAAACTACATTGCTTGTTAAATGTTTCACTTGTTAATTTCTTCAGATGTCTTGTTACATTGCAAAACATTGAAAGAGAGATATTTTGGTCATCTTATTTTAAAATTTTATTTCAACTCATGCCTAACATCCTACAGTGAAATGTTAAATTGTGCTGAGCTTGATTTGAAAGTATATCACACCTATGGTCGTTGGATGAAATTCACCCTTCATTAAATATGATAGAAAAGAAAGATACTCTTAATCTTAATTGATAATAAGCTAACGTTGTGTTTGGATTATTTAAATTTGAGACAATTTCCTTATTTAAATACATGAAATTTTATGAACCCAACCATTTCTCATTATATTTTTTTATAATTTTAAATTCTTTTTACATTTTTTGTGGTTAGTGCCTTTGTCTTTCTTCCCTCATCTTGCATTTTTGTTTCTCAGCGGTTGAATAATAGAATAAACTTGTCACTCATCGTCTTTTGTTTTCACTTTAAATTTCAATTTGTCTCTCATTTTCTTTTAAAATTTTAAATGCATGAATTTTAAATATTTGATTCTAAATATGAAATTTAACTTTGTTAAAGATATGTAACGGTCTTATATTATTTGTTGATTTAATTTGTTATTAGTTATTGGGGGTATTGTTGTATTTTGCCTGGAATTCATTTGTATAAATACTGGATATTTGTATCTATTTAGTTTAATGCAAAATAGTGTTATTCATTTTGAAATATTGCATTCACTCTATAGTGTTATCTGTAGATACATTATTTTCATCATGGTATCTAGAGCTAAAACTTGTGCCAATTCTTGTTCTTTGGATGCGTCTTTCAGTTTTTACCGGTTTATCAAGAATTAGGCTGTGACTTCAAGAAGTGAATAAGCACAGAAGCCCAATATTTAGACGCACCGTGTCTTTTCCCTGTAGCTCAATTGTAGCGTTCCTTGTATAATCTATCATCTTCGAGAATCGCTCGTCCTCTTCTCTCGTCTTCTCTAAACCCTACTTATCTCTCACAAAGCCAAAAATCTGAGAGGATATGGAATTATGAGAAGAACGACAACTTAAAAGATAGCTCGGTGGCTGCAATGATCAACTTTATCCATCCGCTCTATTTACATCCTTTAAACACTCAGGCGATGGCGCTCGTTCCACACGTGCTCACCAGACCAGAGAACTACCCTGTCTGGAGTCATGGGATGCGGATCGCCCTTCTTGGCAGACACAAATTGGGCATAGTCGATGGATCTTGCTCGAAAGAATTGCAAGATCCTTCTCTACACAACTAGTGGGAACGGTGTAACACTGTTGTGCTGTCTTGGCTGCTAAGTTCTGTCTCGAAAGAAATAGCTAGTGGAATTGCCTTCTCTCAGAGCGCACATCTCGTATGGATTGACTTTAAGGAACGATTCGATAAGGTTACATGTTCATGCATTTTCTCCATTCACTAAGAGATTAATTCTCTTACCCAGTCATCTTTTTTGATTTCTAGTTACTTTACCAAGCTTAAGGAGCTCTGGGAGGAACAATCTGCTTTAGTCGTGATACCTTCCTGTAAGTGTGAAGCCTCGAAAGTATATGCTAATGTAATGCAGCATCAATGTTTACTGCAATTTCTGATGGGGCTTAGTGATTCCTATAGCCAGGCCAAATCACATATCCTCTTAATGACTCCACTACCAATGGTGAATCAAGCTTATAGCATGATTATGGAAGATAAAGCACAAAAGAATATAGTTGAAGTAAATTAGCCTCCACTGATTGAAGGCAATGCCATGGTTGTGGGTAAAGGGCAAGGACGTGGTAATCAAGGACGTGGAAATCCCTCCTTGAAATGTACCCACTGTCACAAACGAGGACATACTAAGGAGAACTGCTTTGAAATCATAGGATTTCCTGAGAATTTTCGAGGAAATAAAACTAAATGCCTTCAGCCCAGAAGAAGGTTGAAGCTGCTAATGGTGCAGATGATGGGGAGCAAATTGTAGCACCCACCTTCACTTAAGAATAGTACTAACAGATTCTTCAATTGCTAAAGAAGGATTTGGAGCCTAATGTGCACACCCTTACTGGTATAGCTTTACGTGATTCTTCCTTTTTTAGGCCTAAAATTCATTGGATTTTAGATTCTGGTGCTACTACTCATATGGTGAGTGACTTGGGATTTTTAGATTGCTATAAAGAATATTCAAGTCCTATAAAACATATTAAAATACCCAATAGCCAGAGAGTCCCAATTACTCATATAGGAAATGTTTCCATAGAAGGAATAACATTAAAAGGCGTCTTATATGCACCCGAATTATGTTTTAATTTAATCTCTATTCCTAGGCTAACAAAGGAAGAAAATTGTTTTGTTGCTTTCTTTCCTAACCTCTGTTTGGTGTAGGACCTTCAGGGTGGCAGGATGAAAGCGATCGGTAAGCTGAAAGAGGGTTTATATTTTCTAAATATTGATAACCATGCTACTAATGCTACTGAAAATGTTGTTACCAATGACTTGATTGATGAATGGCTATAGCACTACAGACTGAGCCATCTTTCCTTTCCTGTAATGAGACATTTACATTTGCTAAGAGATGATTCTCATCTGAATAATAAATTTTGTGATACTTGTATTCAGTATAAACAAACCAAATTCTCTTTCCCTTCTAGTTCAATTAAAACCTCATTCTATTTTAAGTTGTTACATATGGATGTGTGGGGACTTTATAGGGTGCCGACACATCAAGGACATCAATACTTCCTTACTGTTGTAGATGATTTTTCTAGAGCTACTTGGCTGTTTTTGTTGAGACATAAGCATGAGACTATTGGCTGTATTAAAAATTTTGTTGCATATGTCTTAAATCAATTTCCTATTCACATTAAAAGAATTAGGACAGATAATGGAAAGGAATTCATTAATAGTGAACTATGAATTTTCCTTGAAAGTAAAAGGATGTTACATGAAACTACTTGTCCTTATACACCAGAGCAGAATGGGGTTGTAAAGAGGAAACATAGGAGTCTTTTACAAGTCTCAAGATGTCTTATTTCACAATCAGCTTTGCCAATTTAGTATTAGGGGGAATGCGTTTAGATGGCTGCATATCTGATAAATAGAATGCCATCTAAGATCTTATAGGTTAAAACCCTCTATGAAATCATTTATTAGAAAACTCCTGATTTTACCAATATAAGAATTTTCAGTTCATTGGCATTTTCTACAAATTTAACTGTTAATGACAAGTTTCAATCTAGATCTGAACCATGTGTTTTTCTGGGATATCCAAAGGGTCAAAAGGGATTTATTTTGCTAAATTTACAGAGTAAGCGCCTTTTTGTTTTCAGGCATGTTAAGTTCATTGAGAACAAGTTTCCTTTAAAGATGATGGAAATTTTATACAAAGTGAGGCAAAGCAGTCATTTGACAATGTGTTTTGGCATGATTTTGATTTATTGCAAGTTCAAAAAATGCATGGTAATTCTCGAACTATTCAGCCCATTACAGAAAAATATTCAGATAATAATGATTTAGGAGAACCACATAATATTTCAGAAGACAACTTGATTGAACAGCCTACTTTAGAACAAGATAGAATAAGATCGGTCAGGGAGAGAAGGCCTCCTATATGGACCAAAGATTACATATGTTCTGCTACTGTTTCTAAAGTTAAATATCCTATTCAATCTCATATATCTTATGATTATATCTCTCCATCACATAAATGCTTCTTGTTATCCCTTGATGCTAACACTGAGCTCAGGAATTATGAAGAAGCTATACAAAATAAGAAATGGGTGGAAGCTATGAACAATAAACTTAGGGCCCTGGAAGAAAATAAAACCTGGACTATAGTAGATTTACCTAAGGGTAAAAGACCTATAGGTTCTAGGTGGGTCTATAAGATCAAGCATAGAGCTGATGGGAGTATAGAAAGGTATAAGGCTAGATTGATAGCAAAAGGATTTAGCCAAAGGGAGGGGATAGACTATCAAGAGACTTTTTCCCTTGTGGTAAAAATGGTGACTTTTAGAATTGTACTCTCTTTGGCCATTCAATATAATTGGTCTCTGAATCAAATGGATGTCTTTAATGCTTTTTTACAGGGTGATCTTAATGAAGAAGTTTATATGACTATCCCATAGGGTTTTCTTAATAAGGGGGAGACTAAAGTTTGTAAACTTAATAAATCCTTGTATGGATTAAAACAAACTTCTAGGCAATGGAACCATAAACTAACATAGGCACTGAAATTAGGTGGTTACAATCAAAGCATGCATGATTACTCACCGTTTTCTAAGCATTTTGATGATGGCATTATTTTGATCCTTGTGTATGTTGATGATCTCTTAATCACTGGGAGTTTTAAATCTGGGATTAAGGAAACTAAAGAGTTTTTACACAGTAAATTCAAGATAAAGGATCTTGGTCTGTTAAAGTATTTCCTAAGAATTGAAGTGGCATGTTCTAAAAGGGGTATTGTCATGAAGCAAAGAAAGTATGTTTTAGACTTGTTGTTTGAGACAAGAATGAGCGGCTGTAGGCCACTGACAATACCTATGGCCTCTAATTTGAGGCTCACTGCATACGAGGAGGGAAGAAACAAGAAGGAAGAGCTGTTGAAAGACCCTGGGGAGTATAGGAGACTCATTGGTAAGTTAATATACTTAACAATGACTCGTCCTGACATTTCTTTCTTTGTCCAGAGTTTGAGCCAATTCATGCAAACTCCAACAAAGGTTCACATGGCAGCTGCAAAGAATGTGCTGAGATATTTGAAGAATAACCCAGGACTTAGAATACTTCTAAGCTCGAGACACAGTACAACATTGAGGTGCTTCTGTGACTTAGATTGGGCAGCGTGTCATACTACAAGGAGGTCAATTTCTGACTATTTACTGAAAATAGGAGACTCCTTAATCTCCTGGAAGGCAAAGAAGCAAGAAATTTTCTCTAAGTCATCGGCTGAAGCTGAATATAGAGCACTTAGTGTTGCTGTTTCAGAGGTTATCTAGGTTTTAGGGGTAATGAAGGATCTGGGTTTTCAGAATATAGGGCCAATAAAGGTATATTGTGACAGTAAGGTTACCATTCATATTGCAAATAATCATGTTTTTCATGAAAAGACAAAACATATAAAGGTGGATTGTCATTTTGTTAGAGAGAAATTATAGCAGAAGATTATTTCTTTACACCATGTTCGTTCAGCAGAACAGGAGGCTGATGTTCTAACTAAAGCATTGGGAAAGAAATTACATGATAGATTTCTCAGCAAGTTGCAAACTATAGATTTGTATAGATTGAACTTGAGAGGGAGTGTTGAAGATATGTAATGATCTCATATTATTTGTTAATTTAGTTTGTTATTAGTTATTGGGGGTATTGTTGTATTTTGCCTCAAATTCGTTTGTATAAATACTGGATATTTGTATCCATTTGGTTTAATGCAAAATAGTGTTATTTATTTTGGAATATTGCATTCACTCCATAGTGTTATCTGTAGATACACTATTTTCATCAAACTTCTAAAATTGTTTGAAATGAATGTCCCCTAAGCAAGACCTGGAACAATTTTAAAGAGATCTGAATCTTTAACTACTTGTGAGACTCTTTCTTGTTTTTAACTCTATTTTATTTAATTGTGCATATTAAAAACGCTATAAGAATGGGAGCGCCTAGGGTGAAATTAATTGAATGATTAAAAACCCCATTCAATAATTTTCTTCTACACATGCAAGATCTACCCCTGGTAAAGGTGCTATTTTGGATAAGGTTTTCCAATTATTTGAGAACATGTTCTTCAATTTTATGTTGTACACAACACATCGATCTATTCCTTTCGAAATTGCATCATTATATGCAGTATAGTGGATAAGAATAAATGAAAGAAGACATATGAAGGTATAATAAATTATTAAATCTTTCGAAATGAAGAAAAGTTTAATTTAATGATTCTCAATTATAATTTGTACTTTTGTGTTGCCCCATATTTGATAATAATGTTTGGCTATCCTTTTTTCCGGCAACAACGTTTCGCTTTTGTAAGGTTTCTGGCACAAATAATTACTACTTTAAATAGAAGAAAAAATGTTGAGGTCTCTCGTTTTTGTTTCGCGTCTACTTAAAAAACATATGAGTATTTTGGTCTTTTCAAAACATAAATGCATTTACTGGATACAATTTTTTTTATCTCATTTGCATCCGTATTTCAAATATACTCTTAAGCTCTATTTCCACCCTCACTTTCACTTCCATTTTTACTTTTATTTCAATTAAAAATACTTATCCGCACTAAACAAGGATATTATTGTAAGGATTTCTGAGAAAACATTAACATTATCCTCTATTAATTTTAGTTAGTTATATTCAGGCCTGCTCTAATTTTAGTAGAAATGTATTGAAAAGAGGATTCAGATTAAGTCAAGGCTCAAAGCGTATTTTTAACTTTACGTTACGTTTAAATTAACAAGGATTTAAGTTTCAGTAGAATTAATAAATTCAAATTTATTTTTTATTATAATTTAGTTATAATTTTTTATTTTTTTTATATCTTGATTATTTGAAATTTTAGTTACCGTAACCTTCTAAATCTCTTAACATTTTCATTGTTATACCTTTATCACACTCATTTCATCTCATATTTCTCTTCTCATCTTGCATCAATTGAAAAATAAAGGCAACTTTATTATTTTAAATCTTTTATTTTTGCTTCGAACTTTAGCTCTCTCTCCCCACCCTCTCACCTCCTGAAAATTTTATACTATTCAAATAAAAAATTTTAAATATGATAATTTAAATTAAAAAACAAAATCCAAATCCATGAATCCAAAATATCACTTTAAAGTATTTTTGAAGGAGGTATGAACATTTTAAAAAATTATGACACAATATAGTAAACAGCCTTTTAAAACAAATAAAATATTGTTTTAACCGTCAACATGCAGCCAACTGTTGATGCATGGTTGAGACTTATTTTAACCCAACATTGACCATCACAAACCCAAAAAAAAAAAAAAAAAGCAAAAGTGCACTGATTTCAAAAATTACATGTTACTATGTTGTTCTACAATTTTCTCTCGGGTCTCAAAAATAAAATGCCCTTTAGCTTTCTCGAGATTGTTTGAATGAGAAAGTAAAAATATGGCATTAAAATTCTTGAAAAGTAATGAAATTACCATCATTTAGTTTATTTAAAAAATAATAAGAAATAAAAAAAATTAGTTTTCATAAAGATAGTTTTCCAATTTTTCAAAGAAATAAAAAGCAAAAATTAATCATTAAAGATTTGAAATTTTGACTAGCCTTTAAATTTTGACATATTATAACTTGATTCTTATAGTTTTAACTTGATTATAATTCAATCATTAAATTTTGACTTTTACAATTCAATTCTTATAGTTTTAATCAATTAAAATATTGCACCCTGTATTTTAAAAAATAAATTTATAAATATTAAAATTATGTTAAAATTTAAAAATAATATTTTAAATTACTAAACCCTTTTAATATTTATAAAAATTATAAAAACTAAAATTTTAATATAATTTTAATATTTATAATTTTATTTTTTAAAATATAAAAATTAATATTTAAATGGTTAAATTTATAAGGATTAAATTACAGGAGTTAAAATTTAATTATTAAATTATAACTAAGTTAAAATTATAAGGATAAAATTTAATCACTGAATTATAACTAAGTTAAAATTATAAGAACTAAATTATAATGTGACAATTTAAAAATTGAGTTATAATTTAATTAAAATTATAAGACCAAGCAATTAATTTTTTCAAATATGAAACGAGCAAATCTAGCATGGACTTGTCACAAGGTACATGAGTGTAAACTAATACTGTATATTGGACTTGAATTCATCCAAAATAGGCATTTAAAAAATAAAAATGCACAAATCATGCCTAGCAGTAGCAGGGTAGTCTACTCCTATCATTGTATTGTTTTTCATTTCTGACATTCGTGCTCTCTATAGGGAGTCAACGCCAGCCTGAATGCCTCATATCTCATTTTTCACAGTTAAATTTAGGGGTATTCATAGATTCGGTTCGGTTTAATTTTGGGTAAAAATCAAACCGAACTGAACCATTTAATTTACTAATAATTGAGACCTGATTGATTTTTATGAAGTTCGATTTTATTTTCGGTTTGGTTTGGTTTAATTAAGATCTTGATCAAGTTTTAATGCACTTGTTTAATTTTTTTTCCTTTTCTCCATCTTCATAATGGTGCTATGTACTAAAATTAAATTTAATTCTTTTTGACTCCTTTTTTTCATAAATAGAGGTATAAAAATATAATAAAATTTCAATGTGATAATAATAATTAATCATAAAAATTGATATAAGTTTTTAAGATTAAAATTATTTAATATTATGTATTTTCATTAAAATCCTTTGAAAATATTTATCTATGTATTTATATTTTAATAAATAATGAAAAACTTATTCTACAAAATTCAAAACAAAATGTTTCTTGTAGATAAATTGAATGCTAAGGCTTTTAGGTTGTAAATAATTAAATGATGATCATAGCATGATTATTATAATTACTTAATATTATGCATTTTTATTCAAGTATTTTAAAAATGTTTATTTATTACTATAAAAAATTCAAAACAAAATGCTTCTTGTAGATAAATGGTTATATATTTTACAAATAAATAAATAAAATTTTTTTAATCAAGTTTGGTTCGGTTTCTAGTACTCAAAACTGAACTTGAACCAAACCAATTGATTTTTATATCATAAAAACTGAAGCAGACCTGATTGTTATTCGATTTTGATCGGTTTTTGTCGGTTTGGATTGGTTTGGATCGATCCTTTCAGTTTGGATCGATTTTGAACACCCTTAATTCAATTCATTGAATATTGTCAAATATCAAGGAGAAATTGAGAATGAGATTATGAGATGAGCAATTCACCAAAACACTTGACAGGCAATGCTCCTAAAAATTATTCTCTTCTAATTCATTCTATTAATAAAAACAAAATATTCATTGACAATAGGCTATACTATTATAAATTTTTATTTTTTAGGCAGTTTTTATTTTTAACTTTTCTTCATAATTTAGAGAATTTCGTGATTTAACTCCCACAATTTCCTAGTCGTTTATTTCTGACTTTAGACATCCATCAATTTCTGTTAAAATCTACTAAACTCCATTAAAATTTCAATGATAAACCTCAAATTTTTAAAAATAGACCCAAAAAATAAAATTTAGAATTAGAAAAACATCACCAAATGCAAGTTGTATAGTTTGATGTTTAAGTTCTCCAAGACGACAGATGTGCATTGTCAAAACCTATATAATAAGCAAAGAGACTAACTTAGACTAGAGGGACAATAATTGAACATACGACCGAGGAGTGTTTGGTTCAACTTGTCAAGGAGTCGAATCAACTTATCCTAAATCTCAAATTAAAGTCCTACGACATACAGTCACGTTAAATATAAAATATATTCAAAGCATCCCCAAGGTATATGTGATGCTGCTATTGGTAAAAACAGTCCCAGTGTGGGTCCAGATTAGTCTGGATGAATAGTGATAATATCCTAGATTTTCCAAGGTGCGATGAAATAAAATAATAATAATAATTGAATACTTTGAAGAAAGGAAGTAACTTTTTAGCCACCATGAACTCGGAGTTTAAGTTGGATTTATTCACCAGTTCATTGCTCCCCTCTTTGACACCTTTTAGTTAGCATGCTTAGTAAACGACAGATTGCGGATGGTGCAGCCAAAAAACAAGAGACACATCAAATTCAAGAAACCACAAGGGAGACTTGAAAGCAAACTAGTTTAACTGTGATACTGATAGCAGTATCGTGATTCGTTTTGAAGATAAAACGAAAGGTTCCTTACCACCCAACAAGCAAGAGTTTTAAAAGGGCCATCCGAATATACAGACCATTTTTGGCCTGCCTGAAGTAAGCAGCTCTGGGATCAGAATCAACATCCGCGGTGATCTGCATGAATGAAATCAGAATCCATTGAGTAAAGGACAAGGCTGATTAAACTGAAGTTCAGTAAGTGTTTGCTAGCAAACATTTGAACACAAAAATATTGAAATACTGTTTAGGTCCTTAAAAAATGGCATGATCAGAACTCAGAATCAACATTTATTAGAGCATGCTTACTTCATCAAGTCTTGGAAGAGGGTGCATCACCACCGCATGCTTCTTCATTACTCCGAGAACATCCTTATTTATAATGTACTTGCCTCTAGCCTCTTCATAGAGGTCAATCCTCTCACCAAATCTCTCTTTTTGAATACGAGTTTGATAGACCACATCACACTCAGAAGCCACTTCCATCAAATCAGAACTTTCTTCCCACTCCACTCCCATTGATGTCAAATAGCTTTTTATATCGTCCTGCAGAAGAACATGTAAGAGTGAATTAACATTTTTTGGCCTCTAAAAATGAAGTTTGTTTCAATTTGATCCTCCAAAGTTTTGAATGTCTTATTTCACCTCTCCTGAGTATGGCATCTTCAATATACAGACAATCTAAAGAAATGCATGGCATGGTTCAACGTGTAGCTGGTATGACTGTTAAATGGCCAGATGCCATGACAGATCACCGAAACAGCATGTTATGACTAATTTAAGTGGAACTGTGCTTTGCCATGACACGTTTCAATGACAGTTGGGAATTTAACAACCATATCAACTTTCTCATTAGACTACGTCATCTATCTCTATAGTAAAGCTTTATGTGAAAGTGAAAAATACTCTATTAATGGTGAAATACTCTTTGAAGGATTGAAAAAGGGAAATCTTTTTGGGGATCCGAAAATGTTCATTGGCTCAAAAATCAAAGAAACAACTATGTTAGCAACTTCTCTAAATATTATTTGTGCTGAATCAAAAATCAAAGCATGATAAACAATTTACCTTCATTTTAACTACATCAGGAGAGACAAAATAAATTTTCACATCATTGTACTTGGCAAGCAAGTATGCAAGTGAGCGAACTGTCCTTCCATTAGCAAGGTCTCCCACAAGCCCAACTTTTATTCCATCGAGTTTTCCTATCTCTCTATCAATGGTGTAAACATCCAGAAGTGCCTGAGTAGTTTGAAAAGGAACTAAAATTTGATCTCAGCTTCTCATACGTTATGAAGCAATACTTCAAAAACGAAGTTGCGTCGTGCCAATCACATGTTTCAAACTCAACAAAACATTTTAATTCATGCCAATGTCCATACAGCATAGCACTTCATTTATACCATCAACCACAACACAACACAAGACATCACATTAAATATACCCTCGAATAACTATGAAAATAGCATAAAAAGCTGTGAAAAGGGAAATTGCTTCTTGGTGTTATTCCTTGGTTCACAACATGTAGAATCATCTTTGGAAGAATAACTAAAAGGTAATTGAAACACTGTAAATAGGAAGCCCATAATATATAATTCATAATGGATCTAAAAACACAAGATTCACCCAAGACATACCCCAAAGTGACAATTAGTTACAATCTGAGGGTTATATATTAATCAATATATATACAAGACCTGTAGAAGAAAGAGTAAAGTGGAAAGTTTTAAGCAAAATGGAAAGTTCCCTAAATCAATGTCACAAGTACAATATCTGCCATGCAAACCTTGGTCATTCCCCAGCAAGGGCCGTAAAATTCCCTCATACTAAATTAATTTCTTCCTACAGATAAATCGATGCTGCTCCTACTCCTACGATTAAAACTAAAGACTCAGATTTTGACCTTCAAGGAAAGAGCTAGTTATATTGCCGGTGTTGGGTCAATCTTCATGTTACTAAGCAAAGCCCTTTGGAGAAATAGAAGAATGAAACTATGAAAAGGAATAAAAAAAATCTAGTAGCCTGAATTGGTTTTTCAAGCAGAACAATCTATCATTTGTCCAGCCTATATGACATTCTTTTTGAAGCATAAATTTGTTGCAGTATCCTATACCCTGCCAAATGCAGGCCTACCTGGGTGGGATGCTGCCCAGGACCATCCCCCGCATTAATTATAGGAATGCTGGCTGTAGCAGCAGCTCTTCTGGCAGCACCACTTTCAAAGTGCCTCATCACAATTATATCAGAGTAACCCTCAACTGTTCTTATTGAATCTACAAGCAAATATTTGAGAACCTTCAGAAAAAGCATCCATGAGGAACTTGAAATCTGAAGTACAAACTTCACCTTCTAATGTCTCTCCTTTGGCTGCTGATGAAAACTCTCTTGCATTTTCAGTTGTTAAAACCTCACCACCTAATCTTTTCATGGCAGACTCAAATGAAAGTCTGGTTCTAGTAGAGGGCTCATAAAATAGGGTTGCCATAAGATAACCCTTTAAAAGTTGGCTACCAGGTGCATTCTTTTCAATGTTTTCCATCTCTCGTGCAACTTGAAATATGGCATTCAGAGTATCTCTGTCAAACTGTTGTGCTTCAATAACATCATCAAGATGAAATTTCTGCCCCACTGACAAGGATGATGGGTGTTCAATTTTCAGAGCCTGACAGTGGATGTGGTTTCTTTGTGATATTAGCTTCAAATGATTGGACGGCTTGTATGACATTTTCCAATGGCAACATAATAAATCTTTAGTGCGTTCTGATATATTCAGAGCAAGTGTCTCTTTGTGCACCGTGCAGGAGAAAAGAGTGGAGGAAGCAGCCATTGCAAAAAAAGATGAAACCTAAAAAGCACAGAACTGTAGGTTAGATTTCAAATACCCAGAAGTCCCAAAATAAGCTTATTAGCAGTAATTCAAACCTAAATCAGCAAGCAATTCTTCATATATAAGACTAGCAGACGAGAAATGTCACCATGTCACCAAAGGGCTACAAAATACCAACCAAAGCAATCTAATTGAAGAAAGCACTGCCACTCTAAATTCTCTCCAAATGTGTTAGTTATTGAGCATTATTTATACAATAAAACAAAACAACAACAACAACAACAAGCCTTTATCCCACTAGATGGGATCGGATTGAGCATTATTTATAACAAAGAAAAATTAAAACTAGCAGTGGATATGACAAGAAATAATGTCGGAAGGAAAGAGCAAAAAAGGTTTTCAGAAAAGACGAGGAGGAGGAGGAGTTAAAACAAAATGGTCAGAAATAGACCAAGAACACAGACAACACCGATAAACAGATTCTTCTAGTGCTTTTGCATTCTCTTGCCCTCTTCACTAGTTTCATCTCGACTCGTGCATCCCAACAAAGGCGTGCAGAGTAACAATGTTATTTTATCTTATTTATTATTGTTTTTTCTTTTCGCAGTGAAATGCAACCATCGAAAAGATAAGAAAAGCATCAAACCAGAATAACCAATTAGAAGAACAATCGATGATTCAAACTATAGTTCAGAAAATCGAAAACCAAACCTGCGCAGCTCTGTTGGTTTGTACTGTCTGGTGGGGTCGAAGTCGAAGACCAAATCTGCTTCTCTTTCAGTGCGGTCACAAGTAGAACACTGGAAAGAAAGGAGAAGCCTTTTCTTCAATACAGGATTCCTCCTTGAATAGTCCGTTGGAGTTGGAGACTACGGAGTGATATGCTCATATGCCCTGAGGGATTCGGATTCCTTCTCTGCTTCTGTGAAAAAAGAACAAGAGTGATGCAGCTTCAAAATTCAGCCGTTAGATTAATCTTGCCGCTGTCGTAATGCCACGTTACTCAAAGAGGACATCTGTTGCATCAGCAATCACACTATCTAGCCAGTTAGCCTAACGTAACTTCTCACTCACTGACTGCTTGCAACCCCGTCGGAATCGACGCCGCCGATTACCACGGAAGCCGTGGCGTGGACTCAGCTTCACCAGCCAAGGAAACCATGTTGAATCTGAATATCTCAATTCATATATATAATAAAATATGATAGAATAAAGTAATTCATGCGTACCTGAAGAATTCATGAGTGTTAGAGAAATTTCGATTACCTCGAGTATAGGCAGGTACACAACCCTCAGGTCCCCAGAGCCTTCAGAGAGTTCAGAGATAATGGAAGTAGAAGAAATGAGTCGTGTCTTTGTGGTTACCGACTAATCGTCTTATATAGATCAGATCAGTAACCACCTTATTAATATAATTAAATAATTATATTATCTATTATCTCTGACTCAGTCGAGTTAAGAGATAGGAAATAACTGACGGCTACTGGGTTGTGGGTTGGGCCTCTGCCCATTGGGTTCACTTGTGTGGTCCACCTATCACGGTCCACACAAAATCATAAGGACTAATTTATTGGGCTTATTAATTAATGCTAATTCATAAATAATATTCCAACAAACCAAACTAGCTCAATGGAGTGATGAGACACCTATCGATGATGCCCTAATTCAATGCCTAATCGAAATGTTTTTTTTTTATCACCTCCCTCGCCGTTGTCAACTCCGGCTCAAATTCCCTCTGCTCCGCTAAGTTTCAGTGCTGCATGGCTTGCTTGGCGTGAACTCTCAACTAAAAAGATTCCACCCCCCAACAAAAAATTATTCCAACATGCAAAGGTAATATGAACTCTTACTCTCTAGAAGAAGAATTTTGGTCGTTTCTTGAGAATTTTCACTCTAATTTCTTTTTAACATGCATTCCGAAGATGATTGTCTTTCGAATGCATTAAAAAAGATGATGATGATCCTGTCTTTGGTAGTGTAGTTCAGCAACAATATAGTTTTGTAGTGCGTTTTGTAAATGCAAAGAGAAGAAGACAGTTCTATGCTTGAAACACCAATTTCTCTTGATAGTCTAATCTGTCTTGAAAAATGCTCAATGAGCAGAAGTTTGAAGAACCTATGCTATATGTTTGATGAGTGGGAAAGCACAACTTTGAACCCTTAAATAGGCGTTTCGGTATAAGTTAGTTTCTTTCGTTGTTAGAGTTCCTCTCTTTTATCCGCCATTGTTAATCTCTCTAATTCCAAATATTGTTAAAAAAACGAGCAGGTAATCCTAATAATGTTAAATTTTCTGACTTGTCATTAATGCTGTTGATGTTTGTGCTGAAATGTTCAAATATTGATGAGATGGAATTATGAATGAGTAAAAACATCGAAAGGGATCTGAAACAAGGAAAAAATTAGAGGACGCTATATCAAAACTGTTAAACTACAGGATCAGATTTCATTTTTTTTTTTTTAAAAAAAAAACTATAGGATGGAAAGTTGTGTTTTCCCTTGATGCATTTGACCAAGATCGACGAAGCTATAATGAGTTGATCAATGAAATGCAACTCCCTTGATGGTGACAAGTGTTTTGAAGCAACAACAAGAGGATGAGCGAGAAGGGTGCTCAAGAACTGAAGCTCTTCTGGGCATCTTGGAACTGCTTAGAGACGAGTCAGAGAAGAAGGATCAAACTTGATTAGATACGTCATACGTGAGTGTGGCTTCCAAGTTCTTGTCTGCAAATTAAATAGGAGAAAGATGACGTGGAACTCGAGCATCAGAAAAATATTTAGCAACCTGGGACAAGACAACGCGAATGCGAAAACAACTGATGTTAGCGACTGAAAAAGGTCTCAATTGATGATTATATATGCTGGAGAGAGTTTTCTCAGGAGCAAAAGAAAATCAGGAAAGGACGCCCCAAGCTAAAGTAATATTATCATTTATATCAAAGTTTTGATATATTCTTCCTCAAAGTATTTTTTAAAAATTCAAATATTTAAAAATATAAAAAAAATTTAATATTTTAAAATGTAATTATTATTTTTTATGTGTTTATAAATCATTTTATATTTATTTTAAAGTGAAATATCCTATTAAATAAGAATAAATATAAAAAATAATATTAATTTAAAAATAAATAACTATTTATTAAAATAAAATTTAATTAAAAAAAGCCTTATAATTCTTTAATCGAAAGAATATATAGTGTTATACACACTCTTTCTTAAGTCAGCATGAAAAACAGATTGTTATAAGTAAATATCTATAAGTTTCTGAAAATTATTTTGATATTTTTTTCATCTCATTTTTCTTATAAAACATAAAATCTCATCTCTATTTTTTTTTAAAAAAATAAAATTTATGAAATTTACAAATTCTCAGTTTTAGAGGATACATTTCCTTATGATAAAAAACCATTGTATGTTTTATCTACCCGTGAGGTGACCTCTCCATATAGTCCAGATACGGACTCGTATTATTAATTAATGGTTGTTTCTTCCGGATCAGTTGGTTTGTTTTGTCTGCCATGGATAACAATTGAAATATTGACTGACTCTTCCGAGCTTCTAGATGGAGACCCAACACTGTTATTGCATGATAATAGTGCAAGACTGGTAATCACTGCATGGTGCAGGAGTGATGACATTGGAATGAGAGGCGCTGGAACGTGCATTTTCTTTGTCTTTGATTTGTAGTGGGAAGTTGGGGCACGTGCAACAAGCATGTGCTGAGCACAAGATATCAGGTAGTTCAAGTGAACATCCACACACATGAGGTCAAGAACATACATCTAGAGAGGCATCCATGAACACACATTAGATAGTTGTTTTTACGTCGTGCTGGGAAAAATGTTCATACAAGTACGCTTTAAATCTACCCTAGAGAGAACCCAATTCTGCTGAACAAGCACTTAAAGCGCATGGAAAATGTGAATAATGGTCCAAGTGGGAAGGGCAAAAAAGGAAAACAAAGTGCAAATGAATCGAGATGACCAAGCATAACCTTATAATGCATGATAGAATTGATTCAATGATCCTACAGCCTTTAACTAAAAGAGACAGCCTAAGAAAATTGTACAACAACAATAAACCTTATCCCACTAGTATGATGAATTACATAGATTGCATGATACCACCTTTATACTCTATCATCAATCAAGTTTTAAGAAATATTGCAAACTAGCAGTCTAAGAACATTGTAGGAATGGCATAACACAGCAATACTGAGTAGATGCCTCAAAGGCTCAAATTTGAAGTATCTGCAGACAAGGCAATGAAACAGAATAATAAGGTGCAGTGGATCCCTGAATCAGGGATAGGGTTTTGTCCTAAGCTCAATTTGGTCCTTAAAAACGTATTCCTCCAGATGAAGCTAAATTTTTACTTATGTGGAAAGAGGTACAGGCCCATGGTCTTAACAGAGAACTAAGAAAGTAGTAACCACCAGTTACAGAACATAACAGATAAAACACAAGAAAGAACGTAAACCAACAAGAACCCTGGTCCTTTAATGATCTGGCTATCTGAGCCTGATTGGTCATATCCTAGCATTATCCAGCCCAATTGTGGGTAGCTCTCCCAACATCTTTTTTTGCTTTTACACAAAATTGAATCTGAGATTTCATGCTTAAGCGGTCATAACTCTTCTTTCTATTAGGACCAAGTACCAATACCTGTTGGTACATGACCATCGACATTTGAGAGGCCAGGCTCTCTCCATTACTTCCAAAACTAATCCTTAAGCTTGTCCTCTGTTACTCACCCCTCCCCCAATAAGAATTCTGCACACTCTCCATGCTGGCAACTCGCGTGTCTCATTCTTTCTCTTCCTCACGTAAGTACCACTACCTCCTAATACTTTAGTGCTAGGGTTTATCATGCAAAATAGACCTACAATGTCTTAATTGCAATAGAAGTGAACATTTTCTAAGGCAGAGGACACCTTCTACAAAAACCACTAGATTCCAACAAGGATCAAAACAAAGATTACATCATTTATAAATCCTCTCGATTGACTCTACCATGAATTTAATAACATTCCACTAGACTGTCTCACTTATTTGATTCTCTATGTCTTTCTTCAATTCTCACTTTCTGTTCTTGTAAGAATACTTTTACAATTTTCTATCTAATAAATGCACCAATGTTTAAATCCACAAATGAGGAGAAACACTGCCTTTGCGGAAGGTCACCTTTGTAATCTGTTATTTGGTACGTTTTCAGTTTTCAAACAATCTACTGCACAAATATTGGACCACTAACAAATATGCCCCCACGTTTTTAAAAAACACGGAGCAACACCAAACAAAAGAAAACTGTGTTATACAACAAAAGCAGGCTCTAACACAGAAAAAGTTGGGTCTTCCAAGAATCGAAGACGTATATAAGGAAGTCCAATTACCAAAACAAAACGTACTATCGCAGATAAAGCTATGATTTACAAAGATAATGCCTGATATTGTTAAAGAAAAACGGATATTTTAGGGATTAAAACTTAGGATCAGAGATCCCTAGCAAAAATCAGAAACCATGAATTGATGAAATACAATTAAAATTAATATCATATTATTCTCTTGGAGTATGCAAGATGCACTATCAAAGAAACAAATGAAAATACTGCACAGTTTCAAAATTAACCCAACAATTTATAAAGTCTGCCCCCTTTCTTCTACACCAATTCATTACAGGATACGTAAATGAACTTACATTCCAAGTAAATTCAATTTTCACTTGGTAAAGTCTCCCTGCATCATACATCTAAATTTTCCATTTGAATGCTGCTTTTCAGAGGCACATACTCTCCAAGGTAGCCACCGAGATGATCATGCAGAGCAATCTTATCAATCCCTTGATGATGGTAACTTTTGCATACATAATAGAACACGCTCTGCACTAATAACCCAACCAGATTAACAATTACTAATACGCCCACTAAGAATCCACCGACCACAATCCGCGTGAACACCCCATAATAACCTCCGCCGTGCACAACAACGGCGCTGAATATGCCTCCAATTACTCCACAGCAGATCAGATAAACAAACACAAGTAAAGCTGCATACTTGGTCCTCCCCTTAAGCAACTCGTAGCTCTTCTTCATCGCAGCAAAACCATAAACTGGTTCCAGAACCGACACCACGCTGGCCAAGTGCCACAGGGCAGTGATATACACATGAACAACCAAGAACAGAACGAGAAGCACAAGCAGAGCGAAGAAGAACAAAACGGTGTTCTGGGTATCAATTGCTATAATCATCAGAATCAGGCCAAGAACAAAGACCAAGTTATAAGCAAACATCAAGAGCGACACCCAGAGAAAAGTAATGAACAATCGCTTAAAAACTTTAGGGATTGCAGATAAAGTCGAGGAGAAGGACACGGGCTTGGAGGTATAGAGAGAGGCCACGGTGAAGACGACGGCGGCGGTGGCGAGGAGAGAGAAAGCAAAGAGAAAAATGAGGTAGCAGAACTGAATAACGAGGAGGAGGGTCCATTCATGAGGGGTCTGAGACGGATCGTCATAAGGGGATTGAAGCTGAGCAAGGATGGGATGAGTGAAGAGGGAGTGAGCTAAGATTGCAAAGGAAAGAGGGAAAATTAGGGCTACGGTGATCAAGTAGAAGGTTTTTGGGGATCGTTTGGGGATAGAGATGGATTCTCTGAGGATATCTGGGATGCTCAAGAATTGAAGCTCTTCCGGGGCAAGATCCATCTGTTGAAGGCGAAGTTGTTGGTCGATCTGGTACGGTACAGGGATTTGAGAAATGCTCAGAGACTGCTTAGAGAGGAAAAAAGAATCGAACTTGACTTGCGGTGGATGTGGCTCCAATTCCAAGTTCTAGTCTTCGTGATTCCAGTCGGCAGGTGGAAGAGGGGAAAAGATGACGTGTTAAGATGGCGTGCCTCAGCCGACTGTGGCCCGCGTTTAGTTAGAAAGAGAAAAAAAATAAATAGATATCCATTTTTAAATAATTATTGGGCTAAAAACACTATCAATGCTTTGAAGGTGGGGGACGAAAATAAAGTTTTATAATAGTTAGGTTATTAATAAAAAATTTTAAAAAATAAATTATAAATATTAATTTAAATAATTATAAATAAAAATTTTAATTATAAAGTAAGAGTTATATTTAAATTTTAAATATGTCATTTATAATTATGATTTCTTAATTAAAAAGTATATTTACAAGTAATTTTGTGAAAAATTTTGTTAAGACTTAATTGTCATAAATTTATTATTTTAAAATTTTAATTTCATATTTTTTTAACTTTATACAAAAAATTTATTTTATTTTTTTAATTTTATATCATGTTTTCTCAGTCTTTTAATACTAGCTCTGCTAATTTCATAAAAAATTTTTATTAAAAATTTTAATATTTTCAACTATTAATATATTAAAATTAATTTTTAAAATAATAATTTAAAATAAGTGGTATTAGATTTAAAGTATTGAAAACATATATTTTAAAATTAGGAGGATAAATATTAAGTTAGAAGAATAAAAGTACATTTTAATCTAATTACTATTTAATTATTTTATTCTTTATTTAATATTTCTTATTAAAAACACACACGATACTTTATATTTAAATTAAAAAGTCACCTTTTTTCCAATTATGTTGCCTTTGCTATTTCATCGTTCAATCCACAAAATAAAAATTTATAGGCTTATTTCTCAAATTATATAAAAACGGGTCACATATTATTATTTTTATTTAAAAAAAGGATTTGGACACTTAACCATTTTTATTATTATCAAAAGTATCTTTACAGCATGTAAGATTAATCTATTAAGAAGAGGAAGCCTGAGTATTATTTAAAGGTTTGTCTTTTTTAAATATTTTTTTTGTTAAAAAATGTAATGTATTTTTAATTAAATTTTATCCCTTAATAAAATAGTTATCTATTTTCAAACTAACCTTATTTTTTTATATTTATCCTTATTAAACACCTTATAATAAATATAAAGTTACTATCAATAGATGCACTAAAAAAAAAGGTAATCAAAACATTTCGAAAGATTAAAAATATTTTATATTTTTAAATATACAACTCTTTTAAAAATATTTTATATTTTTAAATAGAGAAAGCAATATTTTTTTATACACACGTTCATAATTAAGTGTCATTATCTTTATATTACCCGAGCGCTCTCCCCTACGCCAGTCAAGCAACTCATATCTAACACAAATTTAAATTTAATTTTTTAATTGATTGAAAGAAGAAATTTCGTTTATTTTCACCAAATTTTGGCTTCCCATGCATACATAATTAAAAACCTTAGACATTCACTATTAATATTTTTCAATTTAATTATAATACGTGAATTTTTTTTACACCATACTTCCTCTAGTCCTATTTATAGGGGAGAGAGAAGGATTTTTTTATTCTATTTATAAATCATGTCATTAAATTTTTATAACAAATTTTCTCTTTTATCCTCTGTTATATGTTATTGAAGTATGTATATTTAATGGGAGTAAAGTTAAAAATTTATTAAATTTTTAGATAGAGTTAATGAACTTTAAAGTTTTTCTTGATACAAGTGAAATATGTTAAAAGCAACTAATAAATAAAACTAGAGAAGTACAGTGTATTATTCTTTTTTTTTATAACTATAATAATTGGTCCTTATAATTTCATCGGACTTTGCTTTTAATCCTTATAATTTGTTTGAGTATTTTCAGTTTCTATAATTTTAAAAGATTGAGTGACATTTGTTTTTTAAATTCCAATAGCTTTAATTTTTTTTAATATTTATATTTTTTATAAGAATTAAAAATACTGAAAAATATTACAGGGATTAAAAGTAAAATTCAATGAAATTATAAGGATAAAAAATTATGTTTTCCATTTCTTTTTTAATGTCTGCACACCCTTTGTTTGAAAAAAAAAAAGAAAAAGTAAAAGTAAAAACATTCTTTTTGCCGGATGAATCGGCGAAGCAGAAAACAAGAACTTTATTACAAACACTAATAAAAGTTTATTTAAAGTTTTGTCATCAAAATAATTAACTTTTTATTACTTTGAAAAAAGGAAAAAAAGAGGATATAAAGAAGGGTAAATGCTCACTAAAGCACAACAAAGAAACATCAACAGGCAACTTTCATGGAGACTGTCGTTCAGAACAGAACACGGTTTCATGGTGTCCTGAAAAGTCCCTCTAAAATTCATTTCTTAAATTTTGTTTTTAAATGTCAACTATTTCCTCAGGCACAGAGAAGAATTTTGAATTAACATGAAAAATAGCGGCTCGGAATATTTACCAAACAAAACAAATTGAATATAAAATGAGCAGATTTTGACAGCAAAACGTGGTCTCGTAATTGATGGTTAAGCTGGCCACAGAGTCAACGAGATTTCTCATAACCGAAAAACAAGGGGGAAGGAGGTATCAAGCTAGGGCTTGAAACCAAGCGAAGTCTCGTACTGCAACTTTAATGCAGATTCAGTCCAACCATCTGCAGAATCTCTGCATGGCTAAACAAACATTCTTAATAACATCAATAAATGTATCAATATCAATATTAAAATAAAAAATCTATAACATAACAGCAATAATAGACACATGCTTAAAACCTTCAAGTAGAACAATTTTCAACAAAGCAGGAAAAGAAATGGGATTAGGAGATCCATAACCAAGGAAAGGATTCTGCCACCCGCCAATAAAAGACTTGCGAGACCTTAACAACTTTTTTTAATAAAAGAAGAGTTTATTATTCAGAACATTTCTTTTTTTGTTTTTACTGAATTATTCAGAACATTTCAAAGGCAAAAGAAATGTTCCATTGGAACCACTACATTCTAACTAGAACCATCAACAGCAAGATTAGTTCTGTAATAAATGATACTTCTCAGCTTTTTGATGAGCTTAAGCTAATCCATTCTTTTGGCCTTTTGTCTCATCTTTCTCTTGGCAGATTACTTTCCGATGTTTCACCAAGTAGAATTATAAAGAATAAAATCTCAAGGCTAAGCCAGATACACAACCAATCTACGACTATGAGTGTATCTAAATAAAGACTAAAAGACAAAGTAACATTATGACAGCATATAAACCAGAAGCACCAAGCTCGTTATTAAAGTAGGTGATTCGTCCCCTGAGATTAATTAAAGTAGTAATAAGAGGAGGAAAAGTGATACACAGCAGAAGAGCAGCAGAAAATGTGAATCAAAATAAGTACAATGAGACCATCATTCTCCTAGAGTATGCAACATGTAAGCATCACTGTTGCAGGCCACATGCCGAAGTTTGTACTATACTTAAAAGGAGGGAATTAGCAACAGAGGCAAGACATAAACATAGAAGAGAAGTTTATCCCAGCATAGGTTTGCAAATGCGAATTTTATGTAGTTTAACCAAAACGACAGTAATCTGTCATGACATAGGTGGATGGCAAACATAGCAATAACATGGATTCAAATTGAACCAAATTAACATATTCCGTATCCTATATCTTTTAAAGGAATGTTACAATTATCCTTCAGATAAAGAGATTACAAAAGGAATAGTTCAGCCTACACTAGCAATTGTAAGATGCTCACCTGGAGCCATTATATGTGAATAGAATGAGAAATTTAATTACTATTTTTTGCAGGATTTTGTCCTTGTCAATGATACACCAAGAGTGAAGAGGATTAACGAAATTACAGTCGCCGGACTTTCGACAGGATTTACAGCCCCGAAGAACAGCTGAAATATGACACATTTATAGAGTGTGTAGAAAAATGGAAAACAATCAGCTATATCTTGTGCCAGTTCCCGGTGCTTTCCATGGAAGACAGACAAAGTAAGGAAAAAGAAAAGCCTTTGCCAAGGCAACAACTTGACTCTGAAGCTTGAATATTCAGCAAGCATGCCTATTCCATTAAAGGGATTAGCTAATTAATAAACTAACGCAAGGCACCACTGACCTAAACCGAGAATTTGCCTTCAAGATTTCATCAATTATTAAATTTGATAACCCCAGAAGTGATTGAAAGTTGAAAACACTTCACTTTCTACGGGCATTCGCCTTATAAATGAAATTTTTTTGTTAGCCAATTAGAAAGTTTACTTTTATATAACAGAAAAAAGGGATAATTTGAATTAATGATCAGAGAAAATCTTCTACAGGGTGATAACAATTAACAATGTCAACAACATATCAGCCGCTAAAAAGGCATTCTCTCGATAACTTATTCAGAACAACAAATAGAAACACTGCACAATGTCAAAAATTCAACATACAAACTATAAAATCTGTTGCCGCTCTGTTTACGTTCTTTCAATGCAGAACAAAGAACTGAAATTACATGTCACCGCAATTTCCCCTCAGCAAACTCACCCTGCATTACACAGCCAAATCTTCCATTTGAATGCTGCTTTTCAGGGGCACATATTCTCCGAGATAGCCACCAAGATGATCATGCAAAGCAGTCTTATCGATTTCTTGATGATGATAACTTTTGCATACATGGTAGAACACGCTCTGCACTAACAAACCAACCAGATTGACAATTACCAACAAGCCCACTAGGACCCCACCGACCACAATCCGCGAGAACACCGAATAATCATCTCCACCGTGCACTACAATGGAGCTAAAGTAGCTGCCGATTACTCCACAACTGATTAAATATACGAAGACAATAATCGCCGCATACTTAGTCCTCCCTTTCAACAATTCGTAACTCTTCTTCATTGCTGCGAAACCATAAAGTGGTTCCAACACCGACACCACGCTGGCCAAATGCCACAAAGCGGTAATGTACACATGAGCAACCATGAAAAGCAAGAGGATTACAATCAAAGCACAGAAAAGCAAAAAGGAGTTCTGGGTATCGATTGCTATAATCATCAAGACGAGGGAAAGAACAAAGATGAAGTTGTAGAGGAACATCAAGAGCGATACCCATAGGAAAGTGATGAACAAGCGCTTAAAAACTTTCGGTATAGCAGATATTGTTGAGGAGAATGAAACGGGCTTCGAGGTATAAAGCGAGGCCACGGTGAAAACAACAGCGGCTGTGGAGAGAAGAGAGAAGGCAAATAGGAATATGAGGTAGCAGAACTGATAAATGAGAAGGAGGGTCCATTCATGAGAGGTCTGAGATGGATCGTCATAAGGAGAATCGAGCTTAGCAAGGATAGGATGCGTGAAGAGGGAATGAGCTAAGATTGCAAAAGAAAGAGGGAAAATTAGGGCAATGGTGATAAGATAGAAGGTTTTGGGAGATCGCTTGGGGATTGAGATCGATTCTCTGAGAATGTCCGTAATGCTCAAGAACTGGAGCTCTTCTGGCGCCAAATCCATCGTTTCAGGGGAATTTGATTTCCGATCTGATCAGAAAAATAAAAATCTTCAAGCAGAGAAATAAAAATTCTCGAAACTCAGAGAGACGTATGAACCAATCTTGGCTTGTGGATTTGAAGCTTCATTTCAAGAACACAGCCGGAGAGGAGAAGAATAATACGGAGAGATGGGAACTTCTGGGCACGTTGAAAGTTGAGACGTGTTTTTTTTATTTTTGCCAACAAACGTGTTTATTTTATTTTAATTGCAATAATGTTATAATCAATTTAATTCAATTGTTGAAAGGGAAACGTTAACTATAATTTTTTTGGCTCCAATATATCAATATAAAAAAATTATGCCAATGGTCTTATAAAAAAAAAAATCATGCCAATGGTAAATTGTCTTGTAACTTATTTCATGTAAATTCCTACTATAAGTGGGAGATGATCTCACTTGTAATCTAGATCTAGAATACTGGTCTCTCTAATTATTTTAAAAAGAAAATTATCGTCACTTTAGTAGCTGTTATTTTTCCCTCCTACGAATTTAGTTTGGTTTTTTCCGACCCTCCCTAAAATTTTATACTCTCCAATTTTTTTCTTTAACTTTTGGCAACATTCACTTGATGACTTACTACAAAATCCAACTTAGCTAATGCTTGTTAAAATTACTCATCCACGCCACAGGTCTCTTCCCCTAATTTTATATTAAAAAAAATTCTTACAAAATAGGATGTGGGGAGTTTTAATTAGGTTAAATGAATTACACTTTCTTCCATCCCATTTATGAAGCACATTTTAAAAAAAATATTTGATTTCATTTATAAATTATAGTATTATTTTTTAAGTAATATTTAAAAAATATTTTTAAAATTATCTTTCATAAAAAAAAAGTAACATGATATCACTTTTTAAATTTATTATATAAAAATATATTTAAAATTTCACATATTTTTATTTTTTATATTTTTTTACATTGATATTATAAAGTTGGTAGAAATACCGGAGGAATATTATTTTAAAGTAGATATGTTCCATAATTAGACTAAGGTATGCTCAATTTATAAATAATGCTACAATACTACAAGTTATTTTATATGTGTGTATATATATATTGTTGAAATTTATTTTTCCGCGAAACGAATTCCGATTTTTCAATTACCCGCCTAGGGTTTAAATCTTAAATCCTGTTCTGCCGCATAAGGTTGTAAAATCTAAGCAGCCAGCATCATGGGCATCTAGCCGTGTCTCTATTCCCCACTTAGGCGCGAACCTACAAGTCTGAAGCTGCGGAGATTTGAACCATTTTTGGATTTCAGGTAAAGCTGAATGACTCAAATTTTGATTTTTCCCGTTTTCAAAAAATGTACTTGCACGCTCGAGACGATTGTGGACTCATTTCTTTCTGCCCCGTAGTTTGGTCCATCAATTCACATTCGATCTGGGTTTCTCTCTCTTTATCTATCTCGCTTCCAACTTTTGGCGGGAATTCTTCCTCCAGTTAGACATTCGACTGGAAGCATGATAAAGTCAGGGAAAATATGAAGCAGTCTTGGGTTTTCTTTCCTGAGTACTACTTGTGATGATGCATTGAAATCAAATTTGAAGAATTGTCATGGGTTTCTGAACTAATTTTTCTCTGCATTGCTTTTTTGTCTCTCTTTTTATATTCAGCTTGGACTTTCCTTGCCATCTGGCATCCAATTGTGGGCGATAAATTGACATAAAGAGTGAGAAAGCGAGAGGAGAAGAGATTAAAAAAAAGGGCAATGGGAAAAGACGAGGATGAAATGAGGGGAGAGATAGAGGAGAGACTGATAAACGAGGAGTACAAAATATGGAAGAAAAACACTCCTTTCTTGTACGATTTGGTAATAACCCATGCCCTAGAATGGCCTTCCCTCACTGTAGAGTGGCTGCCTGATCGAGATGAGCCTCCGGGGAAGGACTACTCCGTCCAGAAGATGATTCTGGGCACTCACACCTCAGAGAATGAGCCCAATTACTTAATGATTGCCCAAGTCCAGCTACCTTTGGAGGACGCTGAAAATGATGCACGCCATTATGATGATGACCGGCCTGAAGCAGGCGGCTTTGGATGTGCTAATGGCAAGGTAACTCTTGAACTTTTACTTGTACTTGAATTTACTTGTTGTGTTATTATTAAGCCTGTGGATGCTGAGAAAGTTTGGGCAAAATATATGAAATCCTAACAGAGGAGGGGGTGATGATGTTATTATTTTCTAAGTTGAGGTGAAACTATTGTATATCATAATTATTTGCTTCTTACGCATTGAGTTGGGCATTGGTTGATCATTGACTTCATGGTCTGATCCTCGTGAAAGAGTTTTTATTTATTATTATTATTATTTTTTTTTGGGGAAAGGTTCCATGTATCTTGATATTTTTGTTTAGCCTCTTGAAAAGGCCTCAAATTACTGAAGGATCAGTCTTCTTTGGAATTTGATGCATAAATAGGTGTATATAGATGCAAAGTCATACTTTTTATTATGCCACAAGCTGCAAGTTCTTTATCAAACTACTCACATTTGCCATAAAAAAGATGTTCCTTACAGTGTTTATAAGTTTAAGTTGTGAAGTAGATAATTCATAAAGTTATATTTATGTGTAATGATAGAGTAGGTACAAGCATAATGTGCTTTATATGCAGCAATTCTAATGTCTATATCATTAGAAGTGATATCTAGAATTATGTCAAAATATGTTCATATGTATGTATATGCGTCCCTAATATTATGCTTGTTTTGATTCCATACACATTATGACAACCCAATTAAACTCTCGATTTGGTGGTTGAATGACTCCACAAAGCAGCCCCTTTTCAGAATTTTGAGCATAATGCTGCAATACAGCAATGATAGAGAAAATTTCACTCACTATAAACTATTCTAAGCCTCCTGATTTCAGCAGTTAAACAAGTAGGAAGTGATGATTAACCTGCCAGTGGATAATTTGCTTAAGCCTAGCATCAATCATAATCTGGTTTTCCAGATTTAATTTAGCTCTATGCACCTTTGCTTTTTTTGATGATTGTGTAATGGTTGAAGTTTTTGTCTTTAGATGCTTTTTGTTCTCTGAGATTATGTTCTTTTCTTCCAGGTTCAAATAATCCAGCAAATAAATCATGATGGAGAGGTCAATAGGGCTCGATATATGCCTCAAAACCCATTTATCATTGCAACAAAGACCGTTAGTGCTGAAGTATATGTCTTTGATTATAGCAAGCATCCATCAAAACCTCCTCTAGATGGTGCATGTAATCCTGATTTAAGGTTGAGAGGTCACAATACTGAAGGATATGGTTTATCATGGAGTAAGTTCAAGCAGGGCCACTTACTAAGTGGTTCTGATGATGCTCAGATATGCTTGTGGGATATAAATGCTACTCCTAAGAACCAAACCCTGGAGGCTATGCAGATATTTAAGGTGCTTTTTTCTTCTCACGTTGGATTCATTTGTTTAATGTAGTTGAACCTGGTGCAATTGCTTCTATGTTTTCTGTGGTTTCTGCAAACCTTCAAATAGAGAAATGTTTTTCCACATTGGATGTATGTTTGCTGCTAATTATAGGTCTCTGAATTCTAGATGCGTCCATATTTTGTCGTTCAAGTTTGAATCATTTGAAGTTGAAGAGGCTAAAAAGTCACATGGGCTGATTATATGCAGATAATGTGGTTGAACAAAACAGATTTATCAAAGCGCCTTACACACTGCAAATTGGAAGGATAATTTTAAATCTTAAATCACCTTGTATCATAAATATAGTCGACCTGCTATGTTGCACCGTTTTTGTGTTGTTAGCATTGGTGGAAAATTGCTGTAATTTTTACATGCACAGTTGACACTATTTATGGCTTACATTAACTTGTCTTATTTCATTATGCAAAAGGGGTATGTTCAGCATATTGCAATGTGTTGGGTCTATTTCCTTTATCCATGCATTTATACCTTCTAAGAACCAAAAATCTGTTGTCATTTTCATGATGCCAACATCTGCTGGACAGTATCATATCAACTCTGACATTAATTTCATTTATCTAATAGGTTCATGAAGGTGTTGTTGAAGATGTGGCATGGCATTTGAGGCACGAATACTTATTTGGTTCTGTTGGTGACGACCAATATTTGTTTATATGGGATCTCCGTTCACAATCAGCTAACAAGCCTGTCCAATCTGTAGTTGCTCATCAAAGCGAGGTCTATCCAAAGACTCCTACTCTGTGTGTGCGCGTGTTTGTGTTTTGGGGAGGGGGGACAGAGGCATAGTTTTGAGAAATTGTGCTCGTTTCAACCTATAAAATAATGATCTATTTTCCATAATATTGGTACATATCAAATGTGAATTAGAGATGCTTGTGTCATTGTCTAAAAAGTTGAAAGAAGTATTATCAACAATGGCATCGCCAGTGAGCATAATGCATGATTTTTAATCACTGCTAAAATTAACAGTGGCTTTAATTTCAGATGTAAGTACATTGCTGAATGCCGTTTCACTTCCATGGGTTGCTTTTGGTGCTCTGCTTTTGGATAAAACTTTTCCCTTCTCTCTAAAATTCCTACCTGCTTTGTAGTGTTATTTTTCAATGTGCTTTTGTTGCTTTTTTTTTTCCCTATTAACTTTAATATCTTTGGCAAATTTTGAGAAATTTCCAGAACGCCCACTGATATAAGCTTTCATTTGGGATTGTTTTTGTAGGTTAACTGCTTAGCTTTTAATCCCTTTAATGAATGGGTTGTAGCTACTGGGTCTACCGATAAAACTGTGAAATTATTTGATCTTCGCAAGATCAATACTGCTCTTCACACCTTTGATTGTCACAAGTAACACCCCTTCTCTAATGCTTTCAATATTTACTCCAGATGTATTTATATTCTCCAGTTATTGAAATGGATTTCTGTTCGTGTGCAACAGGGAGGAGGTTTTCCAAGTTGGCTGGAATCCAAAAAATGAGACTATTTTGGCTTCTTGTTGTCTTGGTCGGAGGCTCATGGTGTGGGATCTTAGCAGGTATCTCTTAATCTGTTCTCTTTGCCATCCTCAGTACTCCACTACAATTTGTCACTGTTCTGAAATATTTACTCTTGGTGATGCTGCCATTTTGGCACACGTAATGCTTGAATATAAACAAAGAATTGTAGTATTGATTCATCAGTTTTCAACGCAGCCAGTTAGATTTGTCTTTATTTAGGCTATATTTTAAGTTCACGCTAAGCTAAGTTAGCTGCTTTTGCTGGGGAATGTGGTGTCATGTAACCTCAAATCTTTACTTCAATCCTTAGAATAGAAACTTTAAGGAGGGAACCAGCTCTATCTTGTTAGCTGCAGCCTCACTTAGATTCTGTTTTAGCATTGTGACTTTGTCTGTATTATTAGGCACATGGACTATCTTTGTTCATTATCATTTTCTTGGACGTTTCTGTTAAGCACCTTTTATTTTAAAAAAAATGAAAATAAGATGCATGAAATGGTTACTGAGGATTGATATTCTGATGAAAGTGGATTATTTTATTCCAAACATTGGAAATCATGACGAGTCATGGATATTCCAAATGAGCTGGTCGTTACAGGTAGAATATTTGCCAGGGTGACTAAGTGTATTCTTATTGATTTTGTATTGTAGGATTGATGAAGAGCAAACGCCTGAAGATGCTGAAGATGGCCCTCCAGAACTGTTGTTCATTCATGGTGGCCATACAAGTAAAATATCTGACTTCTCTTGGAATCCATGTGAAGACTGGGTTGTTGCAAGCGTGGCAGAGGACAACATACTCCAAATATGGCAGATGGCTGAGAACATATACCATGATGAGGATGACCTGCCTGAAGAGTCAACTAAACCCGCTGCTTAGTGTAATTTCACTGTTTTCAAATTTCAATGTAGAAGATGATAATTTCATTGTTTAGACTCGCAGGCTGTTCTATATTTCTGCCCGCCTTTCATTTTTCTCATCTGTAGCTGGAGGATTGTATTTTACAAGGTATAAAAACCCAACATTGCCTTGATTAGTGTATGATCTGGTCATGATTAGCCATGAATTAATTAGTTCTCAGAGTATTTAGGCTTAGATTGTCCCGAGTTTATGTTGAACGTAATTCATTTATTCATTACTGTCAAGCTCCGAAAACATTGCTGAGAAAGAAAAGAAGTGATTGAGACACATAATTTCGAACATCATTAAAGCTTAAGGCACAAAATGCCTGTGAGGCATTCATCCGTATGTTTAAACTTTGAAAAAACAATTGAGAATGAAGAAATTCAAGATGCAGAAATTGGCAAGTTTAAGAGCCTGTCATTTGTAATTTCTTGTCTTTTGGAGTCGCCGTTTGTGAAATTTGAAGATGAATATTGATATGCTTTCATTTATTTTTGTTAAATATTATTTTTCTTTGAACAATCGAAGGGAGATTAACAGCAAAACAACCATTACTCAGCACAAAAAAATTGTTAAAAGTTTTAAATTAAATAGCTAGCAAAGAGTCCAAGATTGAGCGTTGAATTTCAAGTTAAACGAAATAAACTAATCAACTCCGTGTTCATGGCAGAGAATAAAAGAGCTGGAGAGGGAAAATAAAATAAACAAAAAAATAATAAAGAAAGTGGAAGGAAAAAAGAAGTCAATTGGTTTTAAAATATAAAGGAATGAACAAAAATTGATGAATAAACTTGAAAATCATTAAATGGGGTGCCACATCAACACGGTAGTGTTGACCAGAATGGACAAGAACAGTTGAGAGGTTTTTAAAATATTTTCATACAGATTAGAGAGAGACGAAAGGGAATTATATGAAAGACCAAAACATGAGCATTTTGATGAATAGACACCTAACTAATATTAATTAACATGTTAATTAGACATGATTCAATGTGTGAGGTCCGTGCGTGAAGGTTGAAAGAGTCGCCATACTCGGTGAACGAGACTCAAGACCACAAGCCTACTAATATAGTTATATGTCGGATCATAATCCTAATCGTGTATATATTCAACGTTCAAGTCTTGGTATTGGTTTTAATGCAGAATCACACTGCTCTGTTCACACTTTATTAAGCGTAATTCATTGTTTTTTAACCCTTTTTATTTGTAAAATATTAATCCTTTCATATTTTTATATGAAGCATATAATTATGAGGTTCCAGCTGGAAATACAGTGGCAGAACAGTATCGGACTAATTCACACACCGTCCGCGGACATGGAATTGAAGGACTGGGTTACTTGTGGCCCAATGCAAGCTGCGTTTTCAAAGTTCAATCCCAACGTTCACACTTCACAATGTAATTACGAGAATAAATATATGTAACAAAGAGTAGTTGAGTATTTGTGCGTAAATTCCGTCAACAATCTCTTGGTTACATCCCATACATATACATATATATATATATATATATATCCTTCTCTCTCGTACCTTGTGTATACAACATATAACTTGTGTCTGGTTCTTCAATCTAGCTTCACACCAAACACTATCTGCGTCTCATTCAGTGAAACCATTGGTAGTCTCGAAGAAGAAGAAGAATGAGTTCATCGTCAAGCATAAACATCCAGAATGTTCTATGCCCTACAACTAGGCCACCTTCTCAGACTAATCAGCCCTCTAACCCTCCAAGACCTTCCACTCGAATCCCAACTGCCCCCAATATCTTTTCCAGGAGACGTTGATCATGCCTTCATTATCTAATCTTCAGGTTAATGCTGCTCTCTCTCATGTTTGATCCGTCTTTATATGTACATGCATGAAAAATCATTTATATATGTTGCAGGCTATTACTGTAATGCTATGCATCGGATCTTCTGAGCAACTTTCTAATTTTATCTATTAGGTTTTTAATTAAACATCAGCTTCCTAATATTTTCAATATTGAAGAATTTTATAGAGAATACTTAAACAACTTTATTGAGTCACCTCGTCGTTTTTATCATGTGATCTTACTGCCAATTTATGCGAAATGGTATGAAACTATATCTGATTTCTCAGTTACTTAGCTTCTATATATTTTTCATGCAGATTGTGGTGAAAGGGCTGGTGATATTGAAGATAAAGAGCAGAAACAAAGTTATAGGATATCAATATGTATAACACACACACACACACATCATGCTTTTATTCATTTTTATGTTTGTTTACTTTGTTTGTTTGATGTTTTGCGTCTTGGAATGATTTGTACGTTCTAGCTTCTTGCTCGGCTTGACTTGTTTTTGAATTTGTTCTATAGCCTTTTGTAACCTTCATGTAATTGTCTCGAGTCACATATCGGAAAGCTTCATAAGTGGTGTAGGGTTTATAAATTTAAGGGGTTCTTTCACTTAACAGGTTAGTCTTTTGGAATGAGCTCATCACATTGTGAGACTCTCTTATGTGAGACTTGTGACAGTAATCATTAGAATAAGACTAAGTTCCCTAAAAAGTGTAACTGTACATCATGCATGTCATCCACCATCAACAGTATTATTCTTTTTTGACATTTACGTACGTAGGCTGGGATACTCTAATCATGATATCTTTGAATTTTGTCAAGTTTTTTTTAATAAAATATAAAATATTCTCTTAAGATTTAAATGCTATGTTTTGCATTTTGGGTGTGTTTAATAACTATATAACTGTATTTATTATGATATATATTAGGTGTTAATTTATCTTTGCATAAAAAATAAAGTATTTTCTCAGCAAGCAAATAAACTTTGGGTAGTGATGGCAAAAAAAAAAAAAAGGAAAGAAAAACTTTGGGTCGACCTAACTAACTATTTCTACGAGACATCATCAATCCTCCTTGAATTTCGATTTAGAAAACTTGGAGAGCAAGCCAAGGGGCAAGTTAAGGGCAATTGTTTTAAAGCCCACACGTACGGTCCCCAACAATTTGAATAATAAATTATCTCAAGCATGTCACTGTTGTATCAACACAAAATCTTGGAGTGACCTATCTAAATATTAATCACCAAAAAAACATGTTAGGAAATTCACAGAACAATAATGATATGGCCAGCTAATTAAATTCACGCTTACTTGCATCACATTAATCTACCCCTTTCAAGTGCCTTATAAAAGGAATCAGAGGAAATATATGTGTATGCATAAATTTTGACAAAAGAGGAAGGAAACAAAAGAAAAACCAATCTTCCTGGTTCTACACAAAAAATAAAAATAAAAAATGTTGCTTCATGGTTAATTAGATGATCAGATATTTCATGATTGATTCATGCTCTACGTTTTGAAAGAAGGAAATTACAGGGAAAGTAGCCAATTAAGGAAATTTGCTGAGAAATTAATGTTCATAATATCATGCCCCCTCTTATTTCTTGCATAGGGTATTTCAAACATTTTTCACGCAGATTAAAAAAATTGTTAGGTTACTTGATTTGTTAAAAGCATCTCAATATTCCAATTATACGCTTATTAATTAAAAGGAGCCTTATCAAATCTTGCTCAAATTACAAGAAAACTATTAAAATTATAAGGGTGAACATAGAATACTATTAATTAAGGTTTAACGTTTGTGGAAATTAATGAAATTAACCGACTTACTCCTTTCGTCTTTATATATAAGAGGTCTTCAAATTTTTCAAGAAAAGAGCTTCAAAAACTAGGAGATCAAACAGATGTTTCATTTGTGGATAGAAGGGGCACTTTGCAAAAAGATGTCCCAACAAATTCAAGAAAGATATGGAGTTATTACAATCTCTTGAGATTGTCATTTCTCTTGATGATGATCAGGGTATTGAATATGTTCTTGAAAAACAGTCCGACTTGCCAGAATCTTGCTTTAAGATCAAATTTTGAGAATATCTTGGCCCGCTTCAAATGTACTATCTAGGTGTTGATTTTGGCAAAGAAAATTTGTCATCTTGAAGAAAAGCATTAAGATGTTTATAATTAATTACCAACCTCTTTTTCCCTCTTTATTTTTTAGATCTTTTTTCTACATAAAAGGCTTGGCAAGCCCAGCCAATATGACTTTGTGGCCTCAATAAGGCTTTGCTTGAATAGAGCTGCACATTTTTCTCTGGCCAAGGCAAGATCTTTTAGATTAACTCTCGGATGAGATGCTTTTGTTGGGTTGACATCTTCATTTTTCTTGAAAGGGAGTTTAATGAAAAACTCTTTGTTTTTTTCATAAAGGCAATGGATGCTAAAATTATATTTTTTAATAAATAGATCATTTAAACCCTTATTAAATTAAAAAGAGAAAAAGATAAGTACTTTCATTAATTTACTTTAAAAAAAGATTTATTTTTTACTTACAATCACTAGGAGCAAAATTAAAATGTTGCTGTGCTTTTAATTAGCTAATTAACTTTTATTGGTTTGTATGATTTAGTTAAAAACCACTGTTTTGAAAATCGGACCGGACCGGCCGGTTGGACTGGTCGGACCGTCGACCGGTCTGGTTCAAAGGAAAAAACAGTTTTAAGAGTTGAGTCGATTTGAGTCGTTTCGAACCGGTGGTCGGACCGGGAATCAGAATCAAGCCGAGAACCAGATCCGGTTTTCAAAAACCGAACTATTCAAAAAAAACTTTTTTTTATTTTTTATCAAATTTTTAAAAAAATGACTAATTTTTTTAATCATTTGATATTATATTGTATCATATGGCTTGTTAAGTCATGATAAACTTAAAATATTTAATTTTTTTAAGTTAAATAGTAATTTCATATGTATTTCTTATATTTAAATTATTATATATATATATATATATATATAATTTTTTTTAATTTAATTATAATGTCATCGATTGGACCATTGGTCCAAACGGTTGAACCATGCGAACCGTGAACCGCTGACTTTTTCAGTTCAATGTCCGATCCGGTTCTAAAAATATTATTAAAAATATCTTATATATAGGGATGAAGGGAGTAGGTTTCTTTGGCTAAAAAAAAAAAGCTTTCGTAATTACTTGAGTGGACCCAATAATGCTATGTTGCATTTTCAAGTGTGTGTATATGATTCCGATGCATATAATATACTCCTCTAGTCCTATTTATACAGTACTTGTTAATTTTTAATACTTATCTTTACATTTTTATCCTTATTAAATATTTTGAATAAAAATACTAATAATGAAATTTAAAAATGTTTATTAGAGGTAAAAGTAAAAATTTGTTAAATTTTTAAACAAAGTTAATAAGGTTTAAAGTTTTTTTTGGTTTTAGTGAAACATGCTAAAAGTGACTTGTAAATAGGATCAGAGGAAGTAATTAATACTCCCTCTAATTCTAGTGTTTATAAGGTAGAGAGAGAGAGAGAGAGAGAGAGTTTTTTCATCTTATTTATAAATCATGCCATTACATTTTTATTAGAAATTTTTTCTCTTACCTCTATTAAATAATGTTTGTAAGAAAAAAGTACCACTCTAGTTCATATTATAAGATAATTAATTACTCATAGGTCCATTAACAACTGAGCTTATGAGAATGATAAGATAATAAACCTTTGAGTAATTAATTATCTTGAGTAGGATTTAAATGTAATTCTCCTTAATTAGCGCTGAGATGTTGTATATACATGGTCAATATATGTATAATTATTTGCGTGGATATATCATGGATATCACATACATAAGCATTATTTTACGCATCAGACTAATTAATTACACTATATATGTTTTGCGTGTATGTGATTCAATATAACGTGACTACTGGTGTGAAGGTTTGAAGTGGTCATACACGGTGAGAAGATATATGCTCAAGACCTCCCACATTCATAATCTTAATCTCATTTGATTTCGACATTCAAACCTCCCTATGAAATGTCAAGAATTAAGCCTTTTCTTTTCCTGCTCGATTCGTTTGGGTAAAATACAAAGTCTTTTTGATGTAATAAAAAATTCCTAAGGCCGTGTATATATGCGCGTGTGTGAAGAGTCATCAAGTCAGTTAATAAATGACTTGCTTGTGACCCTAGGCTACACGCTGCGTTTTCGAAGTTCAATAGAATTCCATCGCAAGTTCAGAGTGTATTTCCTTAACAAACGCTTGGTAATTACTTGAACCAATTTGCATCACCATACAATACCTTGAGATTAGCAATATAAATATACTTTCTGATTCCTCCAGCTTCACAACAAACCCTGCCTCGATCTCTCGTTATCAAATCATAAGCCATCTTTTCTCTACTTAATTAACAAAGCCCTAACTCTTGAAGAAGGTGCAGCATGCCGAGTCCTTCACGCGACACTAATACTCAGCCTAATACCAAGGAGCCTAATCCTAAGGAAGTCTTTTCCACTAGCAGGCCACCTCCTCAGACTCAAAGCCCCCATATCAGGCGTCCCACAACAATCCCTAAAGACAAAGATGTCTTTTCCCGCAGTCGTTGACGATGATGTACTCGTCTCATTTCATCTATTCATTTTTTGCTTACTATATATACATTTACTTCTTTCTTTTATACTTATCAATCATTTCTCATTTCATTTTGTCTTGTTCTAAGATACTTTGTTATACATTAAGTTCTTGCCTCAATTTTGTTATTTGCTTCTTAATTTAATTTGAACGTCACGCACGAAAATGAGTTTTCTTCAAACAAGTCATTGATATATATATATATACATATATAGTACCTATATTTTTAATAAAATTTTTGGCTTTTTAGGTTCTTGCGTCCTTCTCCTAATTAGCGCTTGTCTTGTTGAAACAGTAGTCATGTTCTTCTTATTTATGTTTTAATGTCTCGTTTGAAGAATTTCATTTTTGGTTTTCATTTTCCAGCAGATCGTGAAGCGCCGGTGACATGTGAAATGGCTCGATCAAGAATAATGGAAGCAAAATATATATTACAAGGCAATTACACACACGCACAGTCGCGCACACATGTTCTGTCGTCACATATGCTATCAACAAAATTATTTATTTTTTTATTTTTGATTTGTTTGTTTTGCCTCTAGGCTTGATTTGTTGTTCTTGTTTGCTTCCACAAACAAATACAGCGTTAATTATATATCCTTTTCAAAGTAGCTTTCATTTGTGACCTTTCTGTTTGATGTCTCGTGTCACATCGTAGCAATAATAATAGAAAGTCAAGTGTCTGTTCTGAATAGTCTAACCTTCGTACATTTCTGCACTTTTGAGTTTTGACATTTACGTACGATATTTCTCTTAGAACAATTGTTATTAAAATTTAAAAATGTGCCACGTAATTTTATTTAAATTTCGTGAAATCTCCGCCAAGTGATCCCAC